CCTAACCCTAACCCTAACCTAACCCTAAACCTAAAATTAACCCTAACCCCTAACCCTAACACTAACCTAACCCTAACACTAACCTTAACCCTAACCCCTAACCCTAACCCTAACCCTAACCCTAACCCAAACCTAACCCTAACCCCTAACCCCTAAGCCTAACCCTAATGGCATCCCTAAGCCTAAGCCTAAGCCTAACCCTAACCCTAACCTAACTCTAACCCTGACCCTAACCCTAACACTAACCAACCCTAAACCAAATGACCCTAACCATAAATATAAAACTTACCCCAATCCTAACCCTAACCCTAACACTAACCCTAACCCTAACCCTAACTTTAATCCTAAACTCTAACCTAACACGAATCGTAACCCTAACCCTAACCTGACCCTAACCCTAACCCTTACCCTAATCCTAAACCTAACCCTAACCCTTACCCTAACCCTAAACCTAACCCCTAACCCTAACGCTAACCTTTACCCTAATCCTAACCTTTATCCTAAACCTAACCCTAACTCTAACCCTAACCCTAACCAACCCTAAGCCTAATGACCCTAACCCTAATCTTAACCCTAAACCTTAGCCCTTACCTTAATGTCCCTAACCATAACCCTAACCCTTAGGACCCTAAACCTGACCTTAACCCCTAAACCTAACCCCAACCAACCTTAACCTTAATGACCCTAACCTTAAGCCTAACCCTAATGACCCTAACCCTAACCATAAACATAACTCCTAAACCCAAACCCTAATGACCCTAGCCCTAACCCTAATCCTAACCCATACCCGAACCCTAACCCTAACCTAACCCTATCCCTAAACGCTAAACCTAAACCTAATACTAACTTTTACCCTAATCCCTAACCATAACCCTAAGACCTAACCCTAACCCTAATCCATACCCCAAACCAACCCTAAGCCTCATGACCCTAACATTAACCTTAACCCTAACCACTACCCCAAACCCTAATGACCCTAACCTTAAGCCTAACCCTAATGACCCTAACCCTAACCATAAACCAACCCCTAACCCTATCCCTAAACCGAAATAAACCTAAACCTTACTCTAACCCTAACCCTACCCGTAACCCTAACCCTAACCCTAACCCTAACCCAAATCTAACCCTAACCCTAACACTAACCCTAACCCCTAACCCTAACACTAACCCTAACCACTAACCCTATACTTAACCCTAACCCTTACCCTAACCCCTACCCCTAACCGCTAAACCTAACCCTATACCTAACCCTAACCGTAACCCAGACCGTAACCATAACCCTAATCCTAACCCTAACACTAACCAACCCTAAACCTAATGACCCTAACCATAAATATAAACCTTACCCCAATCCTAACCCTAACCCTAACATGAACCCTAACCCTAACTTTAACCCTAACCTCTAACCCTAACCTTAACCCTAACCTAAGCCTAACCTGACCCTAACCCTAACCCTAAACCTAACC